CGAAGGGCGAATCGTTTAACGACCGCGAACAACGTCAAGAGAGCCGTAAACCTGACGATGATACTTGCAAGAAATACACACACACATAAATAAACTAAACCTAAAACTGAGACACATATATATATATATAGAATGAGATAAGAGTTTAACTTTTGGCTAACTCTATTTAACTAATATTCAACCCTTAACAGTTGCGTCCACTTTTTACATTGATGATTCTCACTAAGTAAGTAATAAGTGATTTTGGTAAATATGCAACAAAATTGTTTAGACATTCTAAGAATAATTTATTATTTATTAGAAATTAATTTATTAGAATTAATTTATCTTTTTGAATTTAACTATTAACACATTTTGCTTAAGTACTTTGCCGCTAAAGTTATTTTAATAATATTTATTAAATTTTTATAATATAAATATTTTATTTTACTTATTAATTTTTATATTTACTTATAATAATTTTTATAAATATATAAACACAATTTATAAAAAATTTATAATATTTTATTATAAAATAAAAATCTTAATATAAATATAAAAGGGATCTTAAAGAAATAGACTACGAAGACCACGAATGGAGGGGTCATTCTTTGAGAGGAAAACATTGGCGGGATTTGGTATTTGCAGCAATGAACTTTCCAGTTCCTAATACCAATTAATAATAATAATAATAATAAAAATATAAAAATAATATTTAATAAATTAAAAAACGCCTATTCTCTTCCTACTAAAGATGTATTAATAAAATATTTTTATTTATAAGTCACTTTCCATGTAACTTACGACCCTATAAGGGGTTAAGTATCTAAATACTCTAAAGTTTTGTTTCAAGTCTGATCAACGTAAGTTAGGTTGAATTTCTCATTAGATTTGAAAGCCTTTCGTTATCCTGGACAATTTGACACCCTCGCGTGCGATTTAACGATGCTTACCTAATTAACTTAAAATTCAATCGGTCATGCAGTACACCTAACCTCTCTTCCTTTTTCAATTTGCTCAAAGGGGGAGGAACTCAACCTGTTACTCCTTTTCTTCTTTATCTTCTTCTTTTTCAATAAAAAAATCTAGAAATAACAGAAGTAACCTACTAGATATCAGTTAACTTATCTCACTGATGTAGTTATCCCTTTTGGCAAAGGTCGGCCGATTTCCACGGACAAATGAAGTTGATTCTAGCAAAGCGTGCTTGAACTATCAGCTGTAAACACCCATGTAACCATTTGAAAATGGCCAGTGAAACGCCCCCGCATGATCGTACCTATCTCTACCTAAATAAAGTACTTASATACATACACATATATAACATATATGTTTTAAAGCAGAGTCTACGAAACGATTCTCACGATCGGCCAATGAGAAGGTGGATAGAAAGGGAGAGCCGGAGGGCGCGAGCGCAATCTTCAAACAAACCACCTGCTTCTTTCTCATTCTCTCTTTACACCCATTTATATACATACACAAATACATATACATATAAATATATATACAAACGTTCACTTTTCCCGAGAGACTAAAAGAAAATACAAAAGATAAGAAATAAGTTATCTTAGTCTCATATTATGCGCTAAATAACGGAGAAAGGAAGGTGGAAGAAAAGGTGGAGGTGGAGGAGGAAGGAAGGTGTGTAATGGTGTAAGTGTTACACACCGACTAGATGATATTTCGAGGCCTCGGGAGGACCAACAAGCAACCAACGGCCATTGTGTATCTCCGTTCGCGCTCATTAAATATTAACGAGAGTCTCAATTTCTTCATTCGTTGATGAGTCGCCGCGCGCCACTCGAACCCGCATATAGATTGAAAATTAACTTATATGAGCCTCGACAAAATATATACCTTTAGGTATGCGCGCGCGGCCCTGCCAGTAACAGAACCCTTAGAAACAGCGCGTGCGCAACAAACAAACCTACAACCTCTCTCTCAACAACTAACTTTTGCACTTACATATATGTATAACTTTCTGATTTACACGAATATTCTAATACTTGTAGTTTTATTTTTTTTCTTATTATGTTGGTATAAGCTTCTCTAACATAAGTAGAAAAATATGTGGGTGCTTTTCTGTATGTGTATGTGTTCTTTCTTTTTCTATTTTTTTTTCTATTTCTTTTTCTTTTATTTCTATTCCATTTTCTGTTTTGATTTTTTCTGTTTTAAAGTTTTTATTTTTATTCTACTCTCAACTTCAATTTTTTTTCTTAAATTCTTTCCCCTGTAGGAGGATGTGTGTGTGTGTGTTTTTTTTTATTTTCCCTTTCTTTTTCTATTTCTTTTTCTACTTCATTTTTCTTTTCTTTTTCTTTTATTTCAATTCCTTTTTCTGTTTTATTTTCTTTTCATAAATTTTTTATTTTTATTCCAATTTCAACTTGTTTTTTTCTTTAAATTCTTTCTCCCTCTTTTTTCTAAATGTCTTCTCCAATTCACACACTGACCACACAATTCTCTTCTTTCCCACCCGTTTCGTTAACGTGAAATCCTTAAATACCTAATTTGATGCTAATTAGAACCAAAGCTGTTGTAGTTGCTAACCCTTTTTCGAGCACGCGGTCACGCTTATGAGTTTTATTTTTTATTCTTTTTTTTTGTTTTTGTTTTGAAAATAATCTGAAATCCGATACATCCTCCGGATATTATTTTTTTTCTCTTTTATTAAATAATGTTTGGTTTGTAATCATCAGGGGAGGAAAATATCAAAAATGGGTTAAAGTTAGGAAAATAATATGAGTCAGGGTTTGAGTGTATTTATATATGTAACTATTTATTATTATTATTGTTATTATTATTATTATTATTATTAATGTTATTATTATTATATTAATGTTATTATTATTATTAATATTATTATTATACGATAATAGTTGCACTCGAAGGTAGCACATTAATTTGTCTATATTATAATTTTTGTTTTTTTTTCTTTCTTTAAATTTACTTTCGTTAAATCATATCGTAAATTAGTTCATCTTGTGTCTCTTTTTATTTTTCAAAATGTTTTTTTTTTTTTTTTTTTACGAAGTGTTTAGACGCACATTTAAATCGTCGCTAAATACTACGCGCAAATTATTACCTAAAAACGCACGACTTAAATTCGGTTCCATTTCTATTCGATGCAAGACGTTTTTTTATTTATTTATTTATCTGTTAGTTTTTTTTTCTCGTTTCTATAGGAAGTGAGTCGTCGAATAACGAATAAAAAAATCGCTCAATCAATATATATACATGTATATATATATATATATATATAACGATTTTTACGATTTTATTTTAAACTTATTTGTTTCCTTCGTTGATACAAAACGTCGGATTAATATTAATTATCTAAATTTATATATTTTTTTTCCTGTGTGTCTCATTTATATGTGTCATTTCTTTTTCTAAAAAGTTTGCATCAAATTTTGTTTATATTTTGATTTTACAATATACAACATCAACCGTTTGAGCAGTGGTCAGAGCCGTATTTTACGTTCGGATTCAAAGAGACATACCTGGAATGTGAACGCTTCCTCGAAACGTCGATCGATTTAGTATATCGATAAATCGAAGTCGTCGATTTATTTCTGATAACATCGAGAAATTTCTCTTCTTCTTCCTTTTCTTTATATTATTTATTTTCTCGCTTATTCCAATGCGATTTGAAAAGCCGGAAGAAGAACGAATGAAAACAAACGAACGAACGTACGAACGTACGAACGAACGAACGAACATACGAACGAACGAATGAAAACGAACGATCGTACACGATCGACGATCGGGAAGTGTCTGATTGGTTGTTTGCCGACGACTTTCTTGAAAAAATATATCGCTTATAATCTGTTGAATTCGAACGGCTCGTGAAATTCTCCCTAAATCTTAGCAGCTACACTTTGGCACGAGGAGAGGAACGCTGTTAAGACATTATTTTTATTTATTTATTTTTTTTTTGTTCTCTTTTCTTTTTTATTTTTTTATTTCTTTTTTTTATTCTTCTTTCTTTCCCTAAGTTTAACCGCGTCGATCGTTAGTTTTATCAAAAGGTTTATCTTCTTTTTTTTTAATTTTTTACTTTTTTTTCTTCTATCTCCGTTTAAATCACATCTCTTCTATAATAATAATAATAATAATATTACACTTTTCGTTTATTTATTTATTTACTTTTCGCAAAAAAAAAACTTCCTTTTTTTTCTTATCCTTTACTTTCTTATGGAATTTTTTTGTTTTGTTTTTTTTTCTTTTCACCACACTTTTTTTTGTCAACTATAGCACGTTAAAGTTACATTCGATTTTTACACGTAACCATCTTTTTTTACACAACTTCTCCGATGTCTCTCGAATAATTCTATTTTTTTTTACAAAGAAAAGTTAATAAAAAAAAATAATAATAGAATAAATGACAAAAGGACAATTTGATATCAGAAAAAAAAAAATTCAAAATTATTTTACGTTGTCCTCCAATTCGTAAATGTACGAAAGAAACAAAATTCAATTTGATTTACCCCATTCTACAAGAAAAGAACATTTTTTTTTTTTTTAATCATGATTCCATGATGTATTAGTTAGTATTATTTTAAACAATTAAAATAATTAATATATCAAGATTGTATTTGAACAAATGAAAATATTAGTCGACGATCGTCGTGTTTTAATGTCGTTTCTCTTTCTCACACACACATTTAAAAGTACTTAAACGATTAAGTACAAGAGTAAGTTTTTTTTTCACGAGAGAGAGAGAGAGAAAGATAGATAGAGAGAAAGAGAGAGAGTGAAAGAGAGAGAGAGAGAGATTGACTATCGTTTAGAAACCCTTTGGTAATTAGTATGTGCATGGAACTATGGTTATTATCACTTATCATTTAAAGCTAATCTCTCGTCACTTATCCCTTTTTTTTTTCTATAAGAATTTTTTTTTCTCGAGTCACCGATTAGACTTTTCTATGTTCTTTTTTTTTTTTTTTGAACAAAAATTCAAAAGTTCTTTTAATTTTATCGTCTTTTCGAATTTTTTTTTTTTTTTACATTCGAATTAGTTGATGAAAAATATGATAAATAATAAAAGGATTTTCACGAATAATCCTTGATGATGATGATGATAATCGTTATCGTCAAGAGTTTTCACTAATTTGACATGAATGTCCTTCGATGTTAAATAAAAAAAAAAATGAAGTAAAAAATAGAAGTCCTTTTCTTCTTCTTCTTTTTTTTCTCTTTCTTCTTCCTTGGCGTTTTCTCATCCAAGATGGCTGGAGAGGGTACTATAACCGTCTTCCTCCATCTCAAGCCGTCGTCAGTAAAGATCGGAAAATGAGACCTGAGATGATACACCGGAATGCAAATGATGAAGGGCGTGCAACTCTTCCATCGAGGTCGAGGGCATGCTGTTACTGTCACCTAGGATGCTAACGGGAGGTGCGACGTTAGGTGAACCTGCCGTACTCGATGACACAGGAGTACCAGGACAACCAACGTTACTGCTAGCACCGCTACCCTCTTGTCGCATCATATTCCGCCGCCATTTTGCGCGTGCGTTTTGGAACCATACCTAAGTACAAATTTATTAATATCTTACTAAAAATGTCCACCCTTTTTTTTTTTTTTATTTTTTTTTTTAAATGTTATTTTCTTCAAGGAATGACATTTAAACTAAATTATAATTTTCCAACACCTTTTTTTTTTAAATTTGATTATTGAATTAGTAAATTTGATAACAAATAAATTTGATAACTGATTATATTGAATATTTTTTTCTTTTTTAATTTTGTTGTTTTTATTTCGAGCAGTCAACGATACACGCACCCCCCGTACGATAAAATGAAATTACGGACGTACCGCAATTCGCGATCGTCCCCTTCTCACCTGAAGCACCCTCTTCGAAAGACCCGTCTTCTGTGCCAATTGTTTCAGATCTTTAGCATCTGGATTTTGATTTATGGCGAAGTAGTTCTTCATAGTTCTCAGCTGATGATGTTTGAAGCTCGTACGCATGCGTTTAGTTCTTTGGCTCTGATGTACGGGTCCAGGTGAGCCTACGGATGCGTCGTACGCTGCTAGCGATTCCATCGACGATGATAATTCGGTCGGATGTAGTAATTCTGAAACAACGAGACGGACAACAAGATGCTTTCCATATCTATCATTTTCCATATTATATTTATATATATAATATGATATAAATATTTAATATTTAAATTTTAATATTTATATAAATATATATACATTATACAATTTTATAATTATAATATTATATAATTATAATTGTAATTAACTACTAATAAATAGTAATTTTATTATATATATAGAGCGAGAGAGAGAGAGAGAGAGAGAGATATTAATTTATCTATGCTTTACTGATCAATTTATTAAATAAAATAAAACACCTATTATCTTACACAACCTACTCTCTAATTCTATTTAACAAATATACGGTAAAGAATCCATATTTCAAACGACAAATCATATAACCATTATTCCATTTAATATACGAATGAATTTAGATTTTTTTGAAAAACATGTAATTTCTTGCAGACCAGTTCGTTCCATTTTATCGGTTATTGCTCAACGCTATTCAACTATCATTTTATTAAATCAATTTGATCGAGAGGAAGGAAGGTGGGAATTGACCGGTGAGTAGAAATCTGGAACATGCCGATTGTAAGTCTTATAAATCCGTTGGATGGAATTGAAACCGGTCGGGACGCAGAAATCGCGAAACCGTATTTTCTCGTTTCGCCAACTAAAGAAAGACCTTCGGCCGATCGAACGAATTCATTTTTCCGTCGAACGTGCTTGCACTCAGTCGTCGAACGGGACAAGGCAAAAAAGTATGTAGGTATCGAGGGAGCAACCAACCTAAAAGGGGGAAGAAAAGGGAGGAGGAGGAGGAGGAGGAGGAGGGAACGGTGAAAAGGAGTAAGAAGAAGAAAAAGAAGAAGAAAAGGAAGATGGGGCAAGGAGGAGGAGGAGGAGGAGGAGGAGGAGGAGGAGGAGGAAGATACTCGCGTTCTGTGCCGTAGAAGAGAGTCGCGATTGTTGCTCGCCGGCGGAGCGAAGAAACGCATCCAATAAATAAGACGACGAGGGTAACCATTGAATTCGATCGAGAGAAAGAACGGGTTCCAACGACGAGGAAAGATAGCTCGTGGTGGTGCCTGCCAATGCTGCAATGGTGTTGGTGGTGGTTGTGGTCTCGGGCACGAAGGGCTAGGTTCGGTGGAGGGTTCGGTAGAGAGGGGGAGGGAAGGCTATCCCAGAAGTAAATCCCCGAGCACGTATCCGCCATTACTGTTTATTGTTCCGAACTTCCATTCCCTCGCGTTCGACGATCTCTGAGCATCGCGAAAGGGAAAGAGAAAGAAATAAAATGAAATAAAGAGAGGGGAAGAACGAGATAGAAGAATTCTCACCGCGAATATAGTTTTTCTTAAGCGAGAATGAAAAAGGGATAGAAAGATAGATGATAAAGGTGAACGATCTTCCATCCTTTTCTCCGTTCTCCATATAGGAATCAAACGCAATACTTCCGAAAGTTAAAATGTTCATATTCTTCTCATGTTCTACTCACGATCGTACGTGAGAGAAAAGGGAAGTTGTTGAAAGGATTCGAAGATTTCACGGTTCGAGAATGAGATTACAATTTGTCAAGAGTGAGGTTAGAAGGGCGCAAAAGAGAAAGCGGTAAATGGGTAGATACGAATGAGAGAAAGAGAAACCAGATAGAAAGATGAACAGGGTAAAAGAGTTAGAGAGAAAGAGAAGTAGAAGAAGAAGAATAAGAATAAGAATAAGACAGAAGAACGGTAGAGGGTATAAAAAAAAAGTTGAACGAGCCGGCATTGTGGACGGCCGGCCATTCTGCTGGCAGTGGCCACGTATTGGCCGCGACAGCATTCTTTTCCGGGCAGATCGGCCAATCGATGCATCTCCGTGCCGATACCCATCTGTCACTGTCCGCGTATGCCCCCTAGCCATTTTCTCTCTCTCTCTTTCTCTTTCTGTCTTTCTTCTCTTCTTCTTCTTCTTTTTTTTATTTTTCTTTTTCTTCTTTCGTCGAGCGTAACCGCGTGCAATCGGTCGCAGGACGTATGCGAGCGAAATCTGTTTAGATCGACGATGTGCTCGTTCAAAGATAGAGAAAGAACTATACTATATATATATATATATATATACTAAGCTGGTATGCGAGAAAGAAAGAAGGAAAAAAGTATCGTGAATCGTCGTAGATTCGCGATTAAGGAGACGAGACTCGATCTGCCGATAAATCCTTCTCTTTCTATCTCTTTCTCTCTCTTTCTATATCTAGGAAGAGTGCACAAGGTTTCTGATCGATCGATCGATCGATCAGATCGATGGTGAACTTCCTCTAATCCAATATTATTTTTTTTTTCCTCTTTCTACGCATTTTTGGCAAAATTTTTCGTCCACGTGGTTCTTGAAAAAACAAAAAACAAAAACGTCATCCATCCATCCAACGTATTGTAAAGACGCGTTGTCGTTAACGACGTTAATGGTTTACCTGGACTCGATGATTTTTATCGTAAACGCGAATGGATTTACTCTCTCTCTCTCTCTCTCTTTCTTTTTCTTTTTCTCTTTTTAACTTGAATCGCCAAGAATGGCAGAGGACGAAGACGTAGAGAAAAACGAAAGCGTTCGTCGCGAGTTTGTCGGGACGCGTTGCGTAAGACCGCGACGTTCCATGACCGATCAAGTAGAAAATCTTTACCAAACAAGTTTTAACGTCGTGTGTGAGATTTCTTTCTATTTCTTTCTATTTTTTTTTCTTTTCTTAATCCTACTACCTTCTCGTCTTTCCTACGTGTTTTTTTTTAATCTCCCCTAACTTAAAAAGATGATGACTATGATGACGATGACGATGGCGATGATTACGATGACGATGATTACGGTATATACGGAATATTAGATTGTTCGGAAAGTAATTTGGTTTTTCTTTTGTGAAAATGAAGACAATGTTTGCTTCGTGGCTAAACCTAGGCCTTTCAAGTGGACATAAAAAGTTAAATTTGATAAATTTAACCACTCACTGATCTCACGTGTTGTTATTTGCCGGTTTGCATCAACGAATGCCAAAATTGAGTCAGGAAAAAATGAAATTACTTTCTCGAACAACGATGAAACAACGATAATCCCATCGATTGTTTTTATTTCTTTTCGATTATTTCTATCTGTCGCGGGAACGTCGACGCGTTTTCAAGGATTTGCCGACCGTCCGAAGAATCAGGGGAGAGACATCCAGACGGGATAATTCGAAATCTCTCGAACGAGGCAAAAAGTGTCCCAATTATATATAAGGACAATAAAACGCAGGGAGAGAAGAGGTCCTGACGGGGAACCAGTCGGCTGGTTCCCACCACCCTATCTTTCTCTCTCTCTCTTTTTTCTTTTTCTTTTATTCTTTCTCTTTCTCTTCAAGCCGCAACAGGGAGAACTTCATGGACGATTTTATGGCTGTTGGTCGTAAATTCCAACCGGTAGTCCGAGAGCTATCCTCCTTTGCTCTGATCGCACGTCGATTATAAAATAACTGAGAATCACGCGTATGTATATACAGTATATATATATATATATATATATATATGTATATATGTACATGTACTATATAAACGTATCTTCTCACGAACGAGACTCCTAAACTCGAGCAAAGTCAAGTTTGCTTTCGCCGTTTCGTGAAATCGTAAAGACGAACGAGAAAGTGGCATTTGAATGAACGAAATCAGAACAGGATATTTTTCAAAATGGAATAAATTATTAGAGCTTTCGTATTCTTGAAATTATTTTTGTATGCTTAACACATCTTGCGCGGGAGTAGACTAAAAAGTCGTTTTTTATTTATTAAATATTATTTTTATATTTATATTGAAAGGGACGGGAACACTGGCAGGATTTGGTATTTGTGGCAATGAACTTTCGAGTTCCTAATTCCAATTAATAATAATAATAATAATAATAATAATAATAATAATAATAATAATAATAATAATAATAATNAATAATAATAATAATAATAATAATAATAATAATAATAATAATAATAATAATAATAATAATAATTAATTATATAAAATTTTTATTTTATAATAAAATATTATAAATTTTTTATAAACTATATTTATATATGTGTATATTTATAATATATAAATAAAAAGTATTTTAAATTGTATATAAAAAATAAAATAAAATATTTATATTATAAAAAATTAATAAATATTGTTAAATATTTATTAAATTTTATAATATATAAATATAATTTTAATAAAATTTACTTTGGCGGCAAAGTACCTTGGCAAGATGTGCTAATTTATTGTTTCATCGTTAAGAGAAGTTAACTTAAAAAATCGGCGTATGCAACGTAACTTAACTGAAAGTAAAAAAAAATAAAAAAAATCTACAACGAAATAATGTAGAATAGCGTGGGATCTTACAGTTTGCGTGAGACTGTAAAATGTAACGAAAAAAAAGAATAAAAAGAAATATACATTGTAACGCATGTCGGCTTTTAGTTAGAAAACTTCATTCGAGACTCGTTCACATGCATGCATTTGAAAGACGAAATATATATATGTATACATATATGTTTATAAAGAATTAAAAATGCGATTCATTCGTTGCAACGAGATTAAAGGGAATATCGAATGAGTGGAATCGTAGAAAACAGCTGCGTAGCGTGCGAGAATTTATTAAAGAATTCCCAGTGTGTTGAAGAGAGAAAGAAAACAAAGAAAAAAAGGAAGAGAGAGAGAGAGAGAGAGAGAGTTAGAGGGTGATGGTGAGGAGGGGTAAGGTTGGAATAAAGAACTGCGTACGGTTGTTAACGAGGCAAGTGCGAACGAATCTCGCGATTCGTACTTGCCGATTCTCGAAAGCTCGTGCAAATGTTTGCAAGCCTAAGGAACGAGCCATTATGCTCATTGCTCGGCAAATAATGCAACTCCCTCGACTAACCTGCTCGAATACGCTTACGAACGAACGAATGAGAGTATATGTAGGATATTAAAGAGAAAGAGAGAGAGAGAGAGAGTGAGAGAGAGAGTAAGGAAGGGGGTAGGGAGAGAAGAAGGAAACTCAACGTGGATATAGAGTGAGTATCTACACCACGTGTTTCTATGGTTTTAAGGCCGACATTTGAAAGCACAACCCCCCGTTTACCATCCGGTCCAATTAGGGTATATCCCTCTCTCTAACATCGACATTTACGATTAGGTCGTCGCGAAGCTTTCATCGGTTAGTCTCGTTACATGATCTCTCGACGATTATACAATGTATATATATATATGTATGTATTTGTATGAATTGTTTATCATAATTGTCTCGTTAAATGGAAGGAATGGTCCATTTGATTTCACTTTCATGGATTAGTAATATGTATGCATTTATTGTTACGTTTCAAGATTAAAAATCGGAATGAGTAAGAGTAGATTGTTTTCAAGTGTCTAGATTTGTTTTTTTATAGATAATAACATATAAATCTTATCGTTTGATGAGAAGTTAAATAGAAAGATATTGTCGTAACTTAAACGATTGAGTTATGTTTAAAACTAAATTCTATATGTTACTTTTGTTATATTATTTAGTAATGAAATTTGAGTTATGTTAACCCTTTTGCTACGAATGGTGACTATAAGTGCAGTTGTTTTGCACTTTATGTTATTGCACATTATGAAATAAGGGTTAACATTATATTTTCTTTTTTTGTAATAATGCAACGTATGTCTGTATGTTAGGGTTAAATTAGATTTTGTTATATATCTTTTATATATTAGGCCTTATATATAACCTACATACATAGGTTATAGGTTATTAGGTTATAGGTTAGGGTTAAATTAGATTTGTTTGTAATAATGTAACATATGTATGTATTATGTGTATCCAGGAGCGATTTGGGGTGGGATTAGGCGAATGATAGAAGAATGGTCAAAGATATTCGCTCACCCAGCGCTCCGGCGGCCAGCCTCATCGTTACAGGAAGCTCGGATCCGGTGACTTCGGAAAGTTTCCTCTTCCTTGGTCTTCCCTTTTGTACAGTTCCGGAGGACGCAATTGGACTCTGTTCGGCGGTGCTGTAATAAGCCGGAAGCGGTGATACTCCAGGCGAACCGATGTCTTCTATGCTGCCAGTGCCACTTCCGTAATCCCCGGCGCAGCAAAGCAACTCGTAGTGCGGTCTTGGGATCGACGAGCTCGTCATTCGTGAACCTTGCTGTCGAGTATTCGATTCGCGAGCCTTCGTTATCTTACCGAGTTCGTTCGACGAGACGATCGCCAAACTTTTTATTAATTCATCAAGTCCTACATTTTGGTTTTTCTTTTATCATATACACTACTGATAATAATCACGAACATAATCATTGGAATAAATAAATGATCGACCAAACGAATATCGATATCTCATCATAATCGAATTTATGAAAATAATCGATTCGTTAAGACGATCTGAAAAAAAAACCACCATCCTACACCTACACCACCTACACCAACAGCACGTTAGAGTATCATGTGTGTGAGATGATCGTCACACTTGTCAACGATCGGGGCCGTTTCTCCGATCTACGATCTCGGTCTCGTCGGTCGAACTCGTTAATAACAAAGAGACGGCCTTTGGATAACGCTAATCATCGGGCACGTATTTATCTCACCTACAATATACCAAGCCGTCTCTCTGGCCAAAATGATCGCCTTTGTTCAATGGTATACCGCAGGAAGCGCAAGTAAAGCAGGCAACATGGTAGACCAGGTCCCGTGCTCTCATCACCAGTTCCGATGGAAAGATCCCAGCACGGCATCGGGAACATCTCGATACCGCAAATAATCTGTAATAATTATTTAATAATTAACAACATATTTAATTTATTTATTAATTTTTTATATTATTAAAATTCTTTTATATTTATTTAATTTTATATATTTATTAATAATTTAATAATATATAATTTATTATTTATTAGAAATTATTAATTATTTAACCCTTTAAGGAACAATTCTGGTTTAACGTGATACAACGCCGCTCGAGTTAACTCAAGCGTGCAACTTAAGGAGTTAATTTATTATTTATTTAATTAATAAATAATATAAATTAAATAGAAATATAAATAAAAAAATAATTATTTAATATATTTAATTTAATATTTAATTTAAATTACCGGTGGTGTGGTACACGTGTGTAATGGAACGTGTTAAAGTTTGATATTTAAGATAAATTATTATTAAGATTTTTTAGGGAATCATTTCTACAATCGTAAGCAATGAATTGATGAACGAATGAAAAAGAAGATGTCACTTGTCTAAAGAAATATATTTATGTATTTATACAATGGTTAATATTTCATACGTTCTGGAAAGATATATGAGATCATAGTTTAGCCTATCTGCATTGTGCTCGTCCCTGTTATGCAGTCGTGCGTTAAACATCGTTCGATAATATCACGGTATAGGTCTGTGACAACTTGATGAACTACTACATTGAAATCAAACAAAAATTCAATTATACAAATAATAATAATAATAATAATAATAATAATAATAATAATAAATATAACGTTGTAATAATATATTGATCGTTTATTAAAAAAAACTATTGATCCAATAAAATATAACAATCGTATTTAAACTTTCGATGATAAAATCAACTAAAAATTTCTATTCGATTGAAAAATATTAATAATTCTTTGTATGAGTAGAACGTTTAATGAGTTTTTACAAAAATTTCCAATTTGTCACGTACACGTTCGAAATAATAGTTACAAAATTGTGCATACTTTTTTTTTGGAATTCTTTGAAATCGTATTTTTTCGTGTTTTATTCGTCATAAAATAAATGACCTCGAGCATTTGAAATGACAAACCAAAATTGGCATACAACTAACGTGTACCTAAACGCTTACTACTGTGTCCTCGTAAATAGAAAAAATAAGGCTAGACCTAGATAAAGAAAAAAGATCAGCTGATTCTTGGCAATGCCCATATTTCACGTAGCAACTATCGAAACGTATAAGAAGGAAGGAGGCACGCGTTATAGTTTACGAAGCGCGAAAAATAGAAAGAGAAGAAGAACGAACGAGAATAAGAACAAAAGAAAAGGAAAAAAGTAGAAAGAGAAACGAAGAAGAAACAGCAAAGAGGAAGAAGAGGGTGAGGGAGGAAGGGAGGGAGAAACAAAGGGGGTGGCCTGGATCTGGATCGTTGCATATTGCATGGGAGGCCCGTTCTGTTCTTCCCTAACGAAGCAGAAACTACCGGAGAGATATCGGACGTTCTTCTTCCTCCCTTGCATGGAATTCTGGATATATTATCGCGTAAGTACAACTTTACTATAGCATAACAACAATAATAACAACTATAATAATAATAACAACGATACAACTATCTAGTAAGCGATTTCATTTGATAAAACACACCTATTCTTATTTAAGACTTCAAAAAATACTAGGATTCTTTGCATTACAATTTGGTAATATAACATTTAAATATAGTAATTATATAACTAATATAAATATAATAAATATTTATTAATATAATATTAAATATATATATATATATATATATATATATATTATACATTATATAATATTATATATAATATAAGTATATAAATAAAATAAAATAATTATATTAGGTTGCCCCTGAATTTTTTTTTTTGTAATTCTACAGGCACAATATTTTTTATGTTAAATAATTTAAAGTGTGTTGAAAGGAAGAAATTTTTGGGACGACCTAATATAATAATTATATTATAATTTTGTATAAAAAGTATGAAAATGTTAGATCTAATCGTAGGATTCCCCGTTAACACAAAACACTAGTACAGATGATACGTTTATTCTGAATTTATTTGACCAAAGTGGTAGGGAGAAGATTATATTCACTTTCTTCACGAATAGAAGCAAAAAGCAACGTGGATTGTTGCTCATGGAAACATTATACGGGGAATTATCGTGGATAATGGTTCGCGAAAGGCGATGCAAGGATTTGGTTTCGGTCCCCCCATTCTTCTTATTCTTTCTCTCTGTTTCCATTGGCCCGGTTCCTGTTTTCTACGTATGCTTTCGCATTTCAGTATTTATTGGGGTAGAGTCGAATTTGCATAGGAGCGTCACTTCTGTCCCACACCCGTATGTCCCCTCTACCCTTTCCTCCTCCCAAAACTTAGCCAAACCTCCCAACCTTCCCCCCCTGGTTCCCGTGTTCCCCTATCATCTCTTCCTACCCGACTTCGAACTTCCTTTGGACCACACAAAATCTATACTAATGGGTGTCTCTAGGGTGCGGTGAATATCCAAGTCCGAACCTTAAATTCCGCGCGCGCGTTCTGTGATATACTCTTCGATAAAGTTAAGCTGGTCTATTCGGTTACTTTGTTTTCATCTTAAATCCATATTAAATCGATGGATAATATCTTTCGAAGAGAATCAAACATGTTCCTGCTGCTGCTGCTGCTGCTGCTAGAGAACTAACTAAATAAGTACCTGTTCATCGAACAATCGTATCACGTTTACTGAGTTATTTCTACGATTATAAGAATCTTCTTTTAATTCTTATAAATAAAATCAAATAAAAAAGAATATCTATCCAGAAGGAATGTATTTCTATATAAACGCAAGCCCTTAGGGATATACTTCTTTCTTTCAAGTTTAACTTTGGATGGACTTTAGGAATAAGGACAGCGACGTAATCTTCTTAGTCAAGGGAATAAAGCTAACCTGTAGTAATCCTCTTTGCAGTAAATGTTGCCGTCCCTAGCGAAACAAGTGCGTTCGCCGGCTAGAGGCATCCGGCAGTGACAGCAACGAAGACAACCGCAGTGCCAGGCACGATCGGCAGCCTTTAGGTACCAACGTTCAGCTATCTCCCTTCCGCACCCACCGCAGCCAAGGGTGCTTTCTGAATTGTTGCTCTCCGCCGTGCCAACCGGACGGTTGCTGTTCACGGCACCATCCCCAGCAGGGGGAGTACTACTTCCGCAACCGACTTCCTTCAGCATCTCGCCATGACCCAGCGTTGTCTCCACCAATACATTCTGCAAACACCATCAACGACATCGCCCCGATCCATTTTTGTTTTTTTTTCTCTACCTCTATTTCTCTTTTTTCTATTTTCTTTTGTTATATTTATTTTGATTTTTATTTTTATTTCTTTCTCTCTCTTTTTCTTTTTTTCTTTTTTTTTCTCATCCATCATTCAATTTGATCATCCGGTTCCGACTCTATCGTTTCCCGATACACACTCGTCAAAGAAGACTAACACACTGCAGTATTTCATTTTATTTATTTTCACGTGCATTCCCGAGCTTTTAAACTTTCTCTCTCTCTCTCTTTTTCTATGCGGATTCGCGACCGATATCGATTATACCTGGAAAAACCGATAAAACGTAGGAAAGAGATATTACGATAGGCTCTATGTATTACAAATCTCAGATATTATTGCACCCGACGATTAAATATATCTACATATTTGTATAACATATATTAAATACAAATTATTATTATATGGAATTTGAACGTTTTGGTGATATCAATTTTTCCCTTAAAAATTGTCAGTCGTGTCAAGGACTCTGAACCCTCGGAGAAACTGCTGAACGACTACGGTTCATTCAGGACACACTTCTTAGTAGCACACGCAAGAACCAATGAATGAAAACAATTCGTGACTGCTGTCCCGTTAATGAATGACTCCCGGGGTAGAGGTTTCTCTTTCTCTCTCTCTTTCTCTTACTCGTACACTCACTCACTCGCTCGTTCGTTCGTTCGTTCGTTCGTTCGTTCGTTTGCTCACTTGCTCGTTCGCTCGTTCAGTTTCGAATCGGCCGCGAGCTAATTAGTAGAACCTTGCGGATCGCCACAATAACTCAACGTCCTTTACGAGCGCCGGCTGCACGTGATTTCCGCGAGTTAAATGGAAGGTGACATTGCTTGGAATCACTGTGTACACCTTGTTACGAAGCTGACGCCTTCCGCCGGGAAATAAAAAGGACTTCTCTCGTTGCTGCTACTTTTTTCTTTTCTTTTCTTGTTAATTCCTTTCTTTTTCTTTTTTTTTTTTCCTTACGTTTTTATTGTTTTTTGTATTGTTTTTTTTTCTTTTTGCATTGACAGGTGTTGTTCGATATAAAGTGAAACGATACAAGTGAAAGAAAGAGAGAGAGAGAGAGAGAGAGAGAGAGAGAGTTAAAGTAAGATAGAAAGACAAATGATTCCTTGTTGTTTCTAACGAAAAGAAAAGAAAAGAAAAGAAATGGAAGGGTTCGATGACGAGTAACTTTTGATCAGATATATTTTAAACTAAACTTCATCGTCACACACACACATACATAAAGAATAAACTTAACGATAGATAAATCTAATCGATAATCCTGTAATTTTGTTTGTATCGGATTAATCACCGTTAATACACGTGTAAGAAAAAAAAGAAGGATTAAATAATAAAACATAGAAAATGAAAATCTTCTAAACACAAAATTGTCAAGGACTCTTAAGCAAAAGGGTTAGTTAGAGGAGGAGTCTTCTATCTATCTTTCAAGGGGTTCTGGGAAAAGTAGGACGAGTGTAAGTTTCGTGCCTTCGTTCCGTGTCACACTTCGTCCTGGATTCTCTCTGTCATTCCCCGGCGTAAAAGCAGCCCCCTTTCTTCGGTCTTTGAGAAATTTTAATGATCGTCGGCTTCTCTTCCGATGCGTTCTTACCTACCTGAGCTCGGTTAACCAGCTGGAAACGCGACGACGGTGGATTCCGCCGGTTCTGTTGCCGTGCCGTTGATGCTGTTGTCCGACGCGCTCCGATCGTGTGTCGTCGTCGTTGCAAAGAGAGAGAGAGAGAGAAAGAGAGAGAGAGAGAGAGAGAGAGAAAGAAAAGACAGAAAGACAGAAACAGAAGAAGAACTACTATACGTGAACCGATCGACGCGAATTTATCCTTTCGATAAATCACCAAGAGAAACTCTCCAAGTAAAAGAAGAAGAACTTTAGCCTTTCCGGTTTGAGTTCAAAGACTGACTTTAAACTACGAACACTTTGTAATGAAAAATTGGTCTCTTAATTTGTAAAAAGAAACAAAAAATCGACAATTCAACGAATGTCTAAAATTGTGAACACTTTTTGAGAATAATTTGTTTTTAATTTATAAAAAGAAAAAAGAAAATGCGAAAATTCATTTGTTTAGTTCAAAGATTGTCTCTCAAACTTATGAACACTTTATCGGAAAACATTGATCTTTAATTTGTAAAAAGAAAAAAACATGGCGAAAACTCTTTAGTTTGTTTAGTTAAATTTGTATTTTGATTTTTGAGTAAAACTTTAACTGAAGATCACTGTTCTGACAGATTGGCAAGATAAACTTAAACGAATTTCTTTCCGTCGGTGTCACGTTGAACAGATTGATAGCATCTTTAAGCGTAAATTCGTAGCACAAGATTCTTAGTGATATCACCAAAAGTATTAAAACAAACCCCCCCGTTCGTTCTTGGTACGAGTAAGAAGAAAAGCAAAAAAACAACGCACTGTGTCCACACCAGAAAAAATGATGGGGTGTATGAAAGAGAAATCGTGACACGAGAAGATCGTAGTAGCAGAATTGTAGTAATTTTCTTCTTTGGTGCCGAACAGGATCCTTACGTTGGTTCACACGATCCTTTTTTTTGTTCTTTCTTTCTTGTTTTCCAAAAAAAGAAAAAAAATTAACAGAAAATCGTCAGGAAAAAGAACAAAAAACAAAACGGGATCACTCGGGAATCGAACTGCAATATTACCGAAAGAGTGGGGGGTGACGAAGTAGGGTTTTAGTTTGTTCGAAGAGTAGTATGGAACGGAAGTAAAGAACTGAAAGGCGTATAGGACAAAGAATAGTCGCGTCTGTACAAGAAGAAGGAGGAGGAGTAAGAGTAGGAGTTGGAGGATGAGGACGAGGAAGAGAAAGAATAGCGCGAAATGAGAGTAAAGTCAGTGTTCAGGGTTGAAGGGGGGTTGCGATCAAGCAGCGAACGAACGAACGAACGAACAAACGTGCGAACAAACGAATGAACGAGTGAACGAACGAACGAACGAACTGAACAAGAGAAACAAGTGAACAAACAGGAACTGACGAATGCGCGTGAGCGCGCGCGCGCGCGCGTTCTTACGAAAAATATAGAAAAAGTGTAACAGAATTGAAACAACACACAACTGGTGGTGCCAGAGTTTGCTGGTGGTCGTTCGCGCACGCGAGGGAAACCGCTATGTGCCGTCGCTTTCGTTAAATATTGCGGATCCCTTGGCCCTGTGGAGGCCGCGGCGTCGTGGCCCAGGGCCGGACGTCAAGAGGAGAGAAAAGAGGGCTTGACGTTCCCGACGCTCTGCCACCGGTCTTGAATATACCTAAAGTTCAGGGGTGGGGTTCGCCGGACGACCATTCGGAGGGGGTGCGGAGACGCTTTAGGAAACAGCTTCGCGTTTGCGCCCTACAATTTATTTCCCTCGCGTTTGCGCGTCCCCAGTCTCTTCCACTCTGCATATATCTTTCTCCCTTTCTCTCATTCTCTCTCTTTTCATCTCCCTCAAACATCGAGCAGCTACGACGGCAGCCAGCTCTACGACGTCGACCGTCGTAGTAACGTCGAATTCCTCTTCTACACGTTTTCACATCCTTGATTCATTTTCAGCCTAACGAAAGAAAGATCCTCATCAATCATCGTTATCGATCGTGAAGATGATCATCGTCAGTCTTGTCATTAGTCGTATTCAATAAGAAAGATATAATTCTATGTTGAGTTAAACAAAATATGTATATGTTCAAAATGATTTTAGGTAGTTAGTTTGGTTGACAAGATTCAATCGAATTTTAATATTAGAAGGTATATATAATATATGTTCGATAGAAGCGATGGATCCCTTTTCGATGAGAGGAAGGAGGAAGAGGGAATATTTAAGAAACAATTTGTAAACGTGTATGCGTGACTGACACGCGACAAACCCATTCGCGTGTCACGTCATTTCTCTTTACAAGCACGAGTACTCTCCTCTCTTACTCTCTCTCTCTCTCTCTATCTATCTATCTCTTTCTCTTCCCATTGAGATCCCCCGATTGCAAATTAATTGAGAGTGAAATGTGAACGCACGGTAAACGCTTTGAGAGAACGATGTCGACACGCTGGAGGCGCTAATCATGAATAATGAATGCTCGGCCGCGACCGTGGCTTAGAACGTTTTATGAAACAACTCTTGCGTTGGCAAGGCTCGTTTATCCCGAGAATATACCTAGAGAGATCATCCCAATGAAAATCGCTAGATTCGCTTTTCTCAGGAATAACGAACCTTCATCTTCATCTTCATCTTCATCTTCATCTTTTTCTTTACTTTAAAGTAGTACCTAGGATTCTCAACCTAACGATGAGTCCCTTTTATCAATGTTTTTGTGTTTGAATGATTCCCTAAGCAATTTGAAATATTTCATAAAATAGAATTATTCTTTTTTATTCAAGTAAACTACCCTTAATAACACATTCGTTTTGTAAGTTACATTTTGTTGAATTTGAAATGAAAGAAAGTAAGAAATGAACATGTTTGGGGGTTGATTAATATTAATTAATCGAATCTTTAAAGGATAGGAGGATAAATATAAAAAAATATTCGATTTAAATAATATTTTAGTCGAATTGGTAAGTTCGGGATGGGAGTTAGGGGGAAAACGTTAGCACGATCATTCTTGTTTGCAACATCTTGTCTCGAGTGTCTCTTAATTGCGAAGGAAGTAAACGAAGAGTACGGTAGTCGAGCGTATTGTTCCTTCACGAGCGCTTCTTCCAGATTTGCTTTTCTCTTAAACGTACTAACGTAAGTATTAGTATTCCCCAGTAATAGTAGTAGTAGTAGTAGTAGTGGTAATTGTAGTCGCGACTATATTTGGAGGGTCTCATGTTTCTTTAAGAAAGCACGTTTATATTCCTTCTGCTACTTTTTAACGTTTTCTTTCTTTCACTTTCTTGATTGTCATGAAACTAGTGTAGAAGTAGAAATAAAATAGAAAGAAGAATAAAGAAGAAGAAGAAGAAGAAGAAGAAAGAAGACATCTAGTTTTCACGATGATAAAAAAAAAAAGAAAAGAAAAGAAAAGAAAAGAAGTCGTTGTCGTACCTTTGACATGCCGTTAGGTTCGTTGAACGATCAAGAAAGGCGTGGCTAGAAAGGAGCATGGGAAAAATGTCATTTACGGGTTTTCTAACTATTTTCTTCAAGAATCTATATATTCTATATTTCTTCTACCCATATAGATACTTCCATCCAATCGATAATATTATTCCGCCAATACTAAAAAAGGGATAGAACATAAAGGGGAATATAGAGGAATAATAGAAAGCAAGAGAGAGAGAGAGAGAGTAAAAAATAGAAGTAAAGTACACAAAAAAGAAAAAAAAGAAAAGAAATCAGCAAAGAGAGAGAAAGAGAGAAGAGAACCAAAGGCTTTCGAAAGGGAGCCTTTTTAATTTCGAGGAAAAAGAAAATCGTGCGCTCTCTGGGCCTCGAGGCGAATCCTCTTACGCGTTCCACCGCCTCGAAGATTCCCGAGTTTTCATTGAAGTAAGAGATGAGATGAGATGATGAAAATAAAAGAAGGAAACGTCTTGGATCGGGGGGCTCTCGCGTGCTATCTTAAGTAGAAGAAGAAGAAGGAAAAAAAATAAAGAAAAAGAATAAAGAAGAAGATGAAGAAGAAGCTCTTGCTTGGGGATGCCGAGAAACCGTCAGATCGATCAAAAGAGAAACTTTATCAAAGTTGCTGCTACGTTGCAACACAAGAGAAAAAGAGAGATGCGTTTTATTAGCGAGTAAGACAAGAACGAAAAAATCAATGTATCAAAGTAAGGAAAGAGATAAGAAATAATACAAGAGATAAGAAGAAAGAATAAAAGGAAAGAAGAAAGAAGATAAAAATAAAAAGAAGAAGCGGGGTGATGGTGGTAGAAGAAGAAAGTTGATTCTGAATTCAGAAGACTGCTCTATCTATCTATCTCTCTTTCTCTAACCATCTTTATCAATCTACAACAGCCCTCTCACTCACAACTGTCTCTTTCTATTCTTTCCTATCGAGGTTTGACTAGCAGTAGTGGTGGTGGTGGTGGTGGTGGTGGTTCAACGGGGATGGTACGAGAAAGGGTACCCTAACCCCCTTCAAGATAGATAGAGAAGAAAAGATAGAAAATAAAAGAGATAGAATGAATGATAGAATGAGAAAGATAGAAAATGTAAAAAAAGAATAAAAAAAGGATAGAATCAGAGAGAGAGAGAGAAAGAACAAGCTGCTGAAGGTCCGCAAGGCGCGGCCTTTCGAGCAGACTCGACGCCCGCTCGATAGAGACCGGCCCGTTCCGGCCAATAGCGGTGGCGGACGATGATAAAGCCGTAGTCCGATTGGTCGACGTGGAATCCGTGGCTGACACGTACCCGACGTTACGCAGAAGAGAAGGAGAGAATACTATGGAGAGAGATGGTACTGGTCCCACCAGATGCTGGCAACAACCCAGCATCCCAACTTTCCTTCATACCGGCCAACCGAGAATGGGAGTCATCTGGCGGTCTCTCATCGAATCTACTCTTCTCTTTCTCTATCTTTCATTCTTACTATTCTCTAACGCTTACGCATGATCTTCCTTTTTATTTTTTGTAATCTTCTTTCTTTACAATATCCACCCCGTTTTCTGTATTTTTTTTTTCTTCACTTTGATTCCCAAAGGAAATTTTTCAAAAATAACCAAATATAACCAGAGTTTTTCTTTTCCTTTCTTTTCTTTTCTATCTCTGTTGTATTATATTTTAAGTTCGTTGAAATGTTTTTTTGATATCCTTGAGGGAAATTTTGCATGTTTGTTTAATGTATATTACCACTTTTTTAATCTTGTAATTAGGTAATAATAGATTAATTAACTTTTTATGATACTTTGAAGATAAGATTAAGAGTTCATTTAAATTCGATGCTTCAAAACTTTTTATTTAAAAGTTCAACGCAAAACGAGTATTGTTAGTTTAAGTATTCGTAATTATTACATGATACATTTATCATTCTAAAAAAAAATAAAAAAAATATTCATATTTGCTAAATTATCTTCTAACTTAAAAATATTATTAATAAAATTATAAAAAGTACAAAATTTCAATTTCAAAACCCCTTTAGTAGGTGTACAAAATCAGATCGATTATTTATCGCAAATACTTCGATAGTTTTCCACTATCTTTTTTTAATTTAAACAGATCAGATAGAATTCTTATGAAAAATTATTCGAATTCCACTAATGGTTTTATCAAATCAATGAAAATGCAATTAATGTCAAACATCATTTTAAACCAACCAACCAACCAACCAACCCCCCCCCCTTCCTCCCCATGTATTTTCTATTCATTCGAACTTAGCGTAGGCCGATTGCATTATGTAAAATACGTTTTGCACGCCTCGCTAGATTATCTCCTTGTGTAAGAGTAAATAAGTGCAAAGATATAACGGTTAATTTCCGTGTTAACCGCGTTTTATCGCGACGTCTATCCGCAACCAGCCGCCCAAGCAGCAGGATGCCAGAGCCAGGGTCTTTCAATGTGAATCTGCCGTGTGGTACTAAAAGACTGCCCCTTCCTTCCTCTTCTCCCTTTCCATCGTACAAATACCAACTAACACACAAATTCAAACACAACTAACAGAAACAACGACGACAGGGAAAGAAATAAAGAAAGAAAGAATGAGAGAGAGAAAGAGAGAGAGAGAGAAAAGGTTCGCACCGTTGCTTCCGTATGCGTTTTCTACCTCGTATTCGTTACGTTGAAAGATCTCTCCTGCGTCGACTCCGTACATGTCGTCGTCTAACGTAAGAAAAAGAAATATGAAAGAGATCGAGAGAGAAAGAGAGAGAAAGAGAGAGAGAGAGAGAGAGAGAGAGAGAGGATACTCTATTTGAAGTTAGAATAAAATATAATACGAGTTTGAGATTAAATGTAAGAGTAATGAGATCTCGTTATAACAGATTACAGCTTTTACGTGGATCAATTATTAATGAATATTATTATTTTTTTTTTTGGTCTACTTAGGTTCCTTTTTTTTTGTACAACCAATGGTCTATTTACTTATATTTGTTATATTAGTATAGTTATAATAGTAATAATATTTGTAGGTTATTAATGTAGGAATAGTTTTGTTCTTGAAATATATTGGATCATACGAGTTATAGGAAGCTAATAAAATTAAAAGTTAATAAAATGAAACTTTTATAATATATCTTAACCCTCTTGTAATACGGTATACTGAAAATTAATATATTAAAATAAAAATTATAACTGTTTTCTATAAGATAATTAAATAAATTTAT